TACCTATAACCAAAGTTCATGCACTTTTTTACTGTTCTATGAGATTGCTTATTCCACCAGAAGAAAGTCATCTACCCTATCTACTGACAGTAATGATCTGGATGAATCCAGTTAGTGGGAAGCACTCTGGTCTTGGAGTCAGGTTCTGTATTCTACTATTGAAGAACTTCAAGCACCACCCGTGCCCTCTGAGCCTCGGCTTCCTTACTTGTAAATGTATAATGTTCTGCCTACCAATGCAAACATTGCTGTCCAGAGCAAATTCTAAGTATAGGAAAGTGAATATAAACTGGAAAGCTATATTATAGTATATGATATTGTAGGTGGTATTAGTATTCACTTCTAACCATTCTTATTGTCAAAAAGACTTTTTCTCCAAGAGCTGTAAATAAATTTACACCAAATTTTCTTTGTGGGAATGCAATAGAGTCCCAGATACATGAAGTAAAATTACTATATATATTTGTATTGTACTATATTCTTTTATATTTAACTGGGCTCCTCTTTCAGAGTGCAACCTCATATAGAATTTACATGACAGTAATTTGAATAAAGCAGAAAAGGGAGAAATATGTAAAGTTATCTGGTGTCATTGATTATGCATTAACTTCCTGTTTAAAATCTCCACATTTGAAGTAAAAATCAGAAATGAACTTTCTTAAAAAATTTTTTTTCTCTATTGATTCTAGAGAGAGAAGAAGGGAGAGGGAGAGGGAGAGAAACATCAACGAGAGAGAACATAGATTGGCTGCCTCCTGCATGCCCTCCACTGGTGGCCCACAACCTAGGCATGTGCCCTGACTGAAAATCGAACCAGCGATCTCTTGGTGCTTGGGTCGACGCTCAACCACTGAGCCACACCAGCTGGGCAGGAATGAACTTTCTAATAAATAATCACAGATTCAAATTTTTAAAAGAAATTAGGTTAGAAATAGAATGAGAATAAAAATTTCTCTGTTACTAAAAATAATTTTTCTAGTTCTTGTTATCCCCAACCAAATTAGATTTGAGGTCTGACATAAACCAGAGTTCATCAGATCCCACTCTTAGTCACATATTTGAGTATTCCTAATGGTTTGACTGAACTGGGTAGCAATTTGACTGTTATCCAATCAATTGAGTCAAGAGGGTGTCTGAATAGTACTAGTTAAACTCTGGGATATCAAGAATGAGAAAAACAGCTCTGGCCGGTTTGGCTCAGTGGTTGGAGCGTCGGCCTGTGGTACAGAGAGACCCGGGTTCGGTTCCCACTAAGGGCATGTACCTCGGTTGCAGTTTGTCCCCGGCCCTGGTTGGTCGTGCGGGTGGCAGCCACTCGATGTGTCCCTTCACATCGATGTTTCTCTCTCTCTCTCTCTTCCTCTCTCTCCCTCCTGCTCTATCTGAACAAAAAATGTCCTCGGGTGAGGATAAAAAAAAAAAAAAAAAAAAGAATGAGAAAAACAATGTAAAAACAACTTGTATGTTATAGGGAATTTTAAAAATTAAAACATATAACACTGTCAGGTTGTTTTTACATTGCTTATCCAGTGTAGTGAAAAAAATTACTAAATATGAAAAGAAACAAAAATGTCTCCCGTAATGCAGTTAAAAAGTCAATAAAAACAAATTCTGAGGTGGCTCAAACATAGTATGTAGTAGACAAAGACTACACAGAAGCTTTTGTTAATATGGGAAGGTTTAAAGAATAATATGTTTGAAAATTTCAAAGCAAACATGTTCTTAATGAATAAATAGAATCTCAGGTGCAAAACTGAACTATGACACATATCGAGTAGAAATGCTAAAACTGAAAGATGAGATTGTAAATAGAAGAAGAAGAAACTTCAGATTAATGGACAGGAATTATCCAAACTGAATAACTAAGAGAACAAAGGTTAAAGAAACTGAGTAGAACTCAGAGACACATGGGATAATGTCAGATAGTCTCACACTGGGAGCATGAGTAATCAACACCCGAAAGGGAAGAGTGAGGACGGGGCAGAAAAGTTCTTCAGAAATAACAGTTGAACATTCTACAAATTTGGTGAAGAACACTGACTTATAGACACATGTTTAATGGACACTCATCAAGGCAGATACAAAAACACTATATACAGAGGATAACTATTGAAAACCAAAAATGAAGTTACAATCTTGGATAAAACCAGAGAGAAAAGACACACCACATACAAGATAGCAATGCCGTAATGCAAGAGTTTCTAAGCAGCCATGGCAGGAAGAGAAAAATGTAATAGGAGAATAACTAAAGATGGGCTTTGTTTCATTATTTTGCTTAGAGCTCTCCTTGTTTAGGAAGAAAGCCTAAATTTCTTCTGAAGCCAACGGCAAGACAGAGAAAGAAGAGGGAGACTACTTCAAATCAGTTTTTCGGGGGCAAAACAATTCCTGTAAAATTTTGCAGCTGAAATATTTAATAATTCTTTAAAAATATATTTCTGTACTAAATGTTTGAGTTGCTGCAACGATGGCTATAACAGCGTGTCAGACGATTTGACTTGGTCTTTTCCACTCGTTTTTTTGTTTTTGTTTTTTATCCCCATCATCTGACTTATTAGAGTAGACTTTGCAACATGAGACTATTCTTAGGCCAATTATAATTTTTCTTTCCAGTTGTTTTTTTTTTTATCCTCACTTGAGGACATTTTTTTTTTTTTTTTTTGCATTTATCTTCAGATAGAATGGGAGGGAGAGAGAAGGAAGAGAGAGAAACATCAATGGTTGCCACCTACACGACTGGGGACAAACTGCAACCGAAGTACATGTCCTTAGTGGAAACCGAACCTGGGACTCTCTGGCCCTGGGGCTGACGCTCTAACCACTGAGCGAAACTGGCCAGGGCTCTTTCCAGTTTTAATCAATGTAAGCAATCAGTATTTGAAAGACTAAGGAGAATTACATAAATAAGACTGAGAAAAGGTTCATGTAGTTAGCTACTAGTATGTGGGTGCCAATTTTCAGTTAAATTCAGCCAAGAGAATACATTTGCAGAGAGTGTAGAGATTTCTCAAGAGGACACCTAAATGAGATGTTGCAATTCTTGCTACATGTAGTTTATCATTAAACAAAAGAGGTCAATGTTGTTGCAAAAGCAGAGATAAAGTTATAAATTTTTTTAAATTAAAAAACAGGCTGGACTTAAACTGTATAGCAAAATCATTGGAAACAATTAGTTGTATGTTTGAATAAATTAATCACCAGAAGATGACTGAAATGTCAACTGTTAAATACAAACCTACAAAAGTGCATAAGTTGTATTATCTTAAATGAAAATGAAAACTATAATGTGTTATTCTCTGAGTTGCGGGTTTCTCAATTATTTTTTTAAATTCTGACACTTGTTTAGAATTCCTTGGTTTCCAAATCATTTACACTAAGACTAACACACTTTTTCAGTAACTTGCAAAGTAAAATAGGCGTGTAGCAAAAGGAAAAGTTGAGGAGATCTCTAGTAGGCAAGACGTTGATCTTTGAGCAGTAAAAGTATCTGCCATTATTTCCTCCAGCCAGATCTCCTTCACCAGACGGGGTTCCATTGACTGAGAGAGATTGCTTTGCTTTGCTTAGCTATCTTTTTCCAACTAAACAAACTCTATTTTCTGAACCTAACACCCAAATATCTTCAAGATAGATGGAGGCTCTGACTACAACTGTAACTGTGGTGTCGTTTATTGAGATTTTGATGGAATCTGCCTATACAGTTAATCCTTGGCTACTAAGTTGATCATGGATTTCTAGATCACTTCTCTGTGATGTTTCTAAGCCTCATCAGTTCCAATGATCTTCTCAGATATAAATCTGGGAAGCCAGTGAAGAAAGTGGTGATAACTACAATAAGACTACTAGATAACATCTATGCATATTATCATGTGTTTGATGTTATGGTAAATCTGCCCATGGATTATCTTAATTAAACTCACAACAATCTTATGACAAAGGCAGTAAGAGTTATCACCACTCTGTATGTGAGAGAAATGAGTCTGAGAGAGAGAAAATAACTTCCCAAGGCTATACAACCAATAGAGCAGTGCAGAAATTTGATTCTAGAACCTGGATAGCCAACCCCTACCTGACCCTGTTTCCTGAAAGGAGGGTCCTCAAGGACCAGGAGCTGTCCTAATTCCAATGAATGATCAGAATCTACCTGGGGCTTTGTTCCCTCTCTTGTAAAGTGAAGATACTGAATTCTACCTTCTACACGTGTGTGTGCTCAGGTTACAGTATACTGAAATATAGCAGTTGTAGAGTATTAGCAGAAAGAAGTTTATATTAACTATAAAAGTCCAAAATTCACTATTCACTTTTATGATTTGGGGCAAGTCATTTAACCTCTCCAGTTAATATTTGCCTCACTTCAAGGCTGTTGTTATTTTATATGTTGGTAGCTTCAAAAAGTATAATATAGCACAAAAATATAAAGTACTAGCCCATCGTCTTCAATATATTTTAGAGCATTAAAATTATAGATTTGAACAATTATGATAAATGGGCTTCTTACTCTTTTTTCCTCATTATTTAAAATACCTAGTGTGTAATAATTGTAGGTAATCTTTATTTCTAGTAGATTTAAACAGAGAGGGAGGGATGAAGAGAGGGAGAAGAAGAGGGAGAGAAAGAGAGAAATAAGCTCCAAGTTTCCATTTACACATGAGAAGGGTAGGGAACTTCCAGAAAGACACGTAATGCTATAATGAGGGAGGAAATGTATCTACTCATACATTAAATACATTGCAGTAAAAAGCAGCAGTAGAAAATAACCCATGTATACACGGACTCTTTGGCAGTTTGACAAAAGTTAATGATTAAAATCTCCTCGATTTGTCACATTTTCACCAGGGTGTCTATTTACCTTGATATTGATATTATTTTATCTCTGTGGGCCAAGGATGAATGCCCTGGCTTCGGTATAGAGATTAATGATTGATTAGTTCACAGTGGGAATCTAAGTAAAAGAGGATTGGTTACCTTTGGCTGCCATTTTTTCTGGGTACCCACAGGGAATGGGTGCTGCAGAGCTTGCTGGCAGGACAATGAAGAGGGCCCTGGTTCTCCTGCTTGCTGTGGTGTTTGTGCATGCTCTAGAGAGAGGTAAGACGTCCAGCGCTGTGACCGCTTACCAGAACTGTTACCCCTTTAAAAAAATAATACAGCCCTGGCCGGTTTGGCTCAGCGGTTAGAGTGTTGGCCTGCGGTGCAGAGAGACCCGGGTTTGGTTCCCGCTGGGGGCTTGTGCCTCGGTTGCAGTTTGTCCTCGGCCCTGGTTGGTCGTGCGGGTGGCAGCCACTCAATGTGTCTCTTTCGCGTCGATGTTTCTCTCTCTCTCTCTCTTCCTCTCCCTCCCTCCCACTCTATCTGAACAAAAGATGGAAAAATGTCCTTGGGTGAGGATAAATAATAATAAAATAATAATAATAATAATAATAATAATACAAAAGGTAAAAAACAGAATAACTGGTGACTATGTTGGGGAGAGAAGAAAGAATCAAAGAGGGGTTAATCTGAGCATGTGGCATGGCACTTCCAACCGGAAGAGCCAGGAAATCAAGATAATCGCTGGAAAGAAAGAAGAATTATAAAATTTGTCAATTATTCTTCCCTGCTTTTTTGATAACCAAGACTTAGGGACAATGTTTTGAAATTGCAATCTTTTTTTTAAAAAATTGATTTGAGAGAGAGAGAGATCAATTTGTTATTCTACTTATTTATTATTTATTTATGCATTCATTGGTTGATTCTTGTATATGCCCTGGCCAGAGATTGAACCCAAAACCTTGGTGTATCAGGACGACACTCAAACCAGCTGAACTACCCAGCGAGGGTGGAATTAGAATCTTTAAACTGTTAGAAGATAATGCAGATGGAGGCTGAAATGCATCACTGACTGAGCATTTTTTTTTCCGGAATTAGAATCTTTAAACTGTTAGAAGATAATGCAGATGGAGGCTGCAATGCATCACTGACTGAGCATTTTTTTTTCGACTACACATATATACTGCCACTGAGAATATAATATACCATATCAATGAGGCATGAGGTCAACAGATTTGACTCTCTTAAAGGAATCCTGGCCCTGGCCAGTTTGGCTCAGCGGTTGGGGTGTCGGCCTGTGGTCCAGAGAGACCGGGGTTCGGTTCCCGCTAAGGGCATGTACCTCAGTTGCAGTTCGTCCCCGGCCCTGGTTGGGTCGTGCGGGTGGCAACCACTCATGTGTCCCTTTCACATCGATGTTTCTCTCTCTCTCTCCCACTCTATCTGAACAAGATATTGAAAAATGTCCTCGGGTGAGGTTAAAGGAATCCTGGACAAGTAATATTTGAAAATACGTTGTAGTTTCTAAAATATCTCACATAAAAGATTTTAGTAGCTATAAAACATGTTTAACAGATAATTGAGCTATATTTTATTAAGATTATTCTTCAAGTAGTGTCATATTTTAGCAATGTTTAAAAATCTCGTTAAATGATACAAGCTAAAATTATGTGAAGTATAAAACTTATGGAAAGTTCCCAAGCTGAAAAATTTATAGTCAGTTTTAATTTATTTTTCTGCATGATCTTTTAATGCTTCTAAGGGAATCTTCATTCATCCCTCTTTGAAAAATAGATTTTCATACTAGTAATGTATTTAACCTGTGGAATAAAAGGTGTATAACCCAGAAATTATTGGTATTAAGTGTGACATGAGTCATTTTGTTTATATTCACTTCTTCTTGGTTTTACTTTTGTCATTCAAATTATTTAAAATTTTGTCTCATTCACCAATAGATTCTGAGTAAGCTATGACTCTTTATATAAGACTACAAAGTCTGACATATACTGGGGTATAAATAAGTAAAATAAATCATGTCCCTTACAAAACCTCTGAATAGGCCAAGACCCAAGAAACCCTGAAAACTCATTATTTTCCCTAGGGTTTCCCTGGACTAGATCTGAACCTGAAAACTCCTACTGAAAAAGGGTTCAATTAAGATGTTCAAAAAACAAGAATTTCCAGTAATAGCTAGGTCCTGGAATTATATGTGCACATTATAAGGTGGGACATGAGTCACCATGTTGGACTGCTGACCCAGTATGTGCACATTGCCTTCACCTGAAAGAGTGTCAGTGTCTTTTGAAGAATAACAAAGTATTCTGCAACTTCTATTTCGACATCCTTCAGCATTCTCTGGCTGTGATGAATTGGATGCTAAAAGCCTGAAGTCAGCTGGCTTGAAGATTTAAACTTCACGATGAACTTCAAATCACCCAGGCATCATAGATCTTAATATATTCCCTGAGACATAAAATACATTTGTAAATAATAAATGTTCAGTATTTTGGGATAGTGGTCCGGACCCGTCAGTCCTCTATTCAATAATAGCTGAGTAGGACCCAAATACCAAGTCAGTGATGGGCCTGGAAGCTAGCTGTGTGCCCTCTTGGCAGGAAGTTGCAAAATATATGGGTTAAAGGGGTTGAGAGAACCTTGGGTGGTGGGGGATTGGATACAGCTGCAGTTCTCTCTTGCTTGTTATGGTTCTAGACAGCTAACTGACCACCATAGCATTTGTCTCGAACACCTTTTCTAAAGTTTATTTTTAAGACTCATCTTGGAAAAAAGTTTCTATGGCCAAACACACTGAAAAAATAAGTCATACATTACTTCTTCTTGGTTGGTTCACAATCAATGCCTTTGTTTTCCTAAATGTTCTGACAAGTCCTACAAGAAAGAAACCTTAGTTAACCCAGAGTTTCCCAAACATATTGGCTTTGCCCTAATTGCCTATATCCCATGAAAGCATTCTTCAGAAAATTTCACTTCTACAGTGGATACTGCTATAGCTCAACATGGACATCAGCTGCAGTTAGGCCAGCCCTCTCCTATCAAGCATCATTGGGGATACAGAGTTCACAAACCCTTCAGCACATCTAGGGAGAGAAGGATTTACCAAATACGACAAATCTGGATGATGCCATAAGAAAACACCCACTTTATCTATACCTTGAAAGACACAAAGACAGTGTTTTCCGATTGCCTCCACTTGGTTTCTGTCTCCAGGACTGAGATGAATGTAGGCTAATCTACAATGTTTCTTTCCCTCTTCCCCCCAAAAAAACAATCAACAAAGGGTGCTGACACAGCCATATAGTTACCAAGGAAACAATGCTAACAGGAAATCAATTACTGCATTTTATAAGAGCTGTTTTCTATGAATATTTCTGTGAATATTTTCATTTTTGCCTCAAGCACTTCATTCTTAACATATATATTTTTCCTAAACATAACACCAACCAGCAAGAAAGTCTCCTTTGGGTTTGTGGGTAAACTATATGTTTCCTTCTTCCATTTGCCCATCAAAACAGCCTAGATAGTGTGGGTTATCCCAACCTCCCAAGCCACCACTGAGTCACCCAGGTTCTCTTTTATACAAGTTGCCTGCCCCTGCATCAGTCACCACTTGAGAAATAAAGTTGCCTTGACTTTGATTTAGGAACATAGCTGCACAGAATGCCAGGGAGAAGTAATTTCAGATAAGTAGACATCCTCTCTATTTTCCCAAATATCTTTATACACTTTCTGCAAAACCTACATAATCGGTATTGAGGAGGAGATGTAGAATGTGAGAACTACATGACAAAAACACACAACCATGTGAAGATCTACAGGTGAGTTTCAAGCAGAAAAAACTCGGGTGCAAAAGTTCTGGGCTTAGAACAAGCATGGCCTGATCCAAGTTCACAGAGAAGCCGGAGTAAAAGCATGAAAGAGGCTTTAGCCAAGAGAGGCAGGAAAAAGAGCTGAAGCCAGAGAAGTCATAAACTTCACCATCAAAGGCAACGTTAACCTCCCTGGAGAGCAATACCGATGCCAGGCCATTCTCGTGAGGTGCGGTGCCAAGCCTGCACTCACCATCATGTGTGTGGAATAGGCTTCCGTGGGCACACTCTTTAAAAGGCCACCCTCTTTAGGGTTAATCTCTAGAGAAAGGAAATGATGAAATTCTTCAAAAGACTTGATTACACTCTCCCTCAGTATCTACAGTCACCTGACTTCTTTATTCTGCCCACTGCTATCCCTCTCTCTCTCTCCAATTTCCCCCCAGTTCACTCTGCTCCAGCCACACTGGCCTCCACACTATCCCAAATCTACGTACTCTGGCTTCAGGGCTCTGCAGCAGCTCCTTCCTCCTCTTGGACCCCTCGATCCCGGATATCCACACGGCTCCCTTCCGCAACTCCTTCAGGTGTCTGTTCCAAGTCCAGGTACCGAGAAGGCTCCCGTGACTAATTTATCTCACATATCACCGCCCCTCTGTGCTCTCCTCTATCCCCTTACCACGCTTCATTCTTATTTTGTAGCACTTGGATCTTACTAGCTGTTCTCTTGTTTACTGTAACAAATTAAAATGTAGAATTTTGATAGAGCCAGAATTTTATGCTAGTTGGGTTTACAAAGACATCACTATTTTGCTGCCTTATTTGAGATACCTCGAATAAAATCTTTCATTAAAGACAAAGAATAAGAGAAATGCCAGTCACTAGCACTGTTGTAGGTGGCACTGAGTGAAACTTATGCTGCTTACTGGGAATCACCCAACTGATCCAAACACCTGTTCATCACTATCCCATAAAACTGACTCTGTCCCCTAACTCCGTTTTCCTGACACCAACATATCTGAATCATTTATGTTCAGTCCTGGAGAGCCTTCTCTGTTTTTTTAAATTCATTTTTATTATCCATATTCAATCATTTCCACATTCTGTAAATTTCAACCTTGAATGGATCAGCCTTGTACAAAGCATTCTACTGTAGAAATCTCCCCAGCTTCTCTTTTGTCTTTCCCCTTGACCTCCTACATATGCTTGGTTCTCCAGGCCTGTGAAAATCACCTCTCAAACCTGTGTTTCCTTTGCATGTCCACATACTGTCCTTATCCAGGCCCTTGTTCCCCTTTACCTGGCTACTGTAATAGCTTCCCAACTGAATCCCTACCTCCCATCCCTTGTACAACCAATTCAATTTATTAAAATACAATAAAAACTTAACATGATATGTTAAATGAAGTCCATAAATAAATTGATTATATTTTTTAAAATTAGGATTACTAA